TTCCGTATGTGTTTCAAAATGTCTTTTAAATTACTAACAACAAATATGAAAGACTAAGTGCAACGTTGTAACAAATTTCATTTCCGTCCAAGTTAAGAATGATATGACTCATCAAAAACTGCGCAAACGAACATAAACAGTGGCGTAATCGTCCGACTCCAGACCAATTTTGAATTTGTAAACTGTCATTGCAACGGACAGTTGACATTGTGCTCTGGAGGAAGCAATTTGTATCACTTTTGCTATGGATATAATTTGTAATCTGGAATTTTTTGCATACCTTTTTAATACATATTTAATTGCGGCTCGCAAAAAATTTCAAATTTTGAAAAATGGCTCGGACTATCAAGGAGCTTGGCCACCCCTGTTCTATACCATTGCACAACAATCATAAATTTTGTAAGATGCTAGTTGTGATGATTATCATTATTTTTGCACAATGTATTTATATATTCAATAAGCCTCAAAAAAAAATAACTGAAACTTTTTCTTCCTCAAATTTGATTATATTATCACTCAGGAAAATTTTATCCTTTATTTATAACAAAGTTTATTACTATCATTTATTGTATACTTCAAAGAATATATTTTATCCATTGTTTTAGTATTAGTATTTGATATACTAATTTTTTATTAGTACAAACCAAATGTCAAGCTCTATGTTTTCTGGAAAAAAAATTGTAATAGCAAAAACACTTGACACTTTTAACATACATATTATAATTAAATAAAAATGAAAAAAATTTTTTATAGCATATTGATAGAGAAATTAGTTTCATATTGATAGTGAACATTTAACCAAAATTCTAATTATTGGATTATTTATGGGTTATTAAATAGATAAAACTGCACTTTTAAATGAGTAATCAAATTACAAAATTTGGTTTAAAGATAGGCAGAGAGGCTGCCATCTTGTGCTATTATTAATAATTAATTTTGAACTAAATAAATCTGATGTTCCTAGAAGAAAAGATTAACCTGGAACAGGGTTCAAACTTATGTGCTCTGCATACTGTGCAGATGCATTACCAGTGATGTTATCCAGACCTCCAAGCAATCTTCACTTCCAGACATATTATTTTAGATCAGTGGTCGGCAACCTTTTAGTGGTATTGTGCAGAACATAAATTATAGTGTTATTCCAAGTGCCAATATGATTCTACCAAGTTTATCATATATGTTATTAAAATTAGTCCAGTTATAACAGACTTAAAAAATGTATAATTTTGAAATTAAGATGTTAATTGAATTATGTTCTTACATGTAAAATGCTTGCATAACATGCAGATTGCAACACAAAGCATAAACACATGCACTATAATAGAAATATACAAACAAAATATTTGTTATTAATGTACCATGGTCTTTGCTGAACTATGACTTTGTAACTAATAAATAAAATATAATTTTTACTACATTTATATTGTCAGAGCGCCACTGAAAATCGTTCCGCCTGCCATAGGTTGACAACCTCTGTTTTAGATCATACAACCACATAGATCAACTTCCAGAACCTCTAAATTAATTTACTTAACTCAAAATTAATCTTCAATCAATAATTATTAATAATAGTACAAGATGGTGGCCTAACTGCCCACCTTTAAACCAAATTCTGTAATTTGATTATTTAATTCAGCAGTGCACAAACTTTTCAATTTGTGGGACAAGTTGCATACAAGTCATAGGTAGGAAGGCCACAAATATTTTGTATATTCCATATATACTAAAAATAAACCTATTTCTATCATTTATAAGTGATGTATCAAATATGTTCACAGGCCAGATTCAGCTTTAGCCATAGTTTTGTCACCATTGATTAATTAATACTTAATTACTGCAAATAATCCAATAATTAGATATTTGGTTATATTATTCACAATATCCAAATTTAAATTTATCAATGTAATTTAAAAAGAACAAAGTCAATTTAAAGATTACCTATAAGCTTGAATTGTTATAACATAGGAACCAGGAAGAAGTAAACGCCAGAATTCTCCCCTTTCTGTCGTAGTGATGTTGTGATCAATACCATCTACCATTACAAATGCTCTTTCGATGCCTTTTCCTGTTTTGGAGTCTGTTACAATTCCTTTTACTCCCATATGAATCTACAGAATATATATAAATATATAATACATTATTATTTCTAGAGGACTTCACCCACCACACTCACTTTGCCTACTTGTTCAAAAATTTCATAACAATCCATTGATTTTCAGTGCCTCATCATTTCTATTTTTATTAAAAATGTGTCATGACAGTTTTAAGCTAAGTACTTTATATATCTATAGAATAGATATGAACAATATTATATATATATATCTTCTATATATGTACAGTTATGTACATATATAAAACTATAATAATAATAAGTTAGTACTGTACATAATATTAGAATATTGTATAATAACATTTGATGAAAATTTTATTACAAATCACCAAAACTATTTAACAACTGCAGTTAATATAATGTTGTTCATTACTTTTATATATCAATCTGTAATCTTTCAAATATAATACAGGCATACCCTGCAGAACATCTTCCTGGTTAGCATTTTCTCAACAGAACATTGTTTGGTTTTTTAACATACAAGGTATAAACTTCATAAAATGTGACTCCCTCCCATGTAAATTCATTTGGTTCTATTTTTTATTTTTTTAGATTGTTAAAAATTTAATATCATATATTTAGTACTCAGCACATGATATTATATATATGTCTTTTATTAGTTAATATTATACAAAAAATATATTTTTCTCGTGACTTTACTCGCGACCAGTTTTTTTAAAGAATTTTCAACAACTGAAGAAAGATTTAGATCTGAAATGCAATAAAAACTGACAATTCAAAATGATTAACTTAGCCATGCTCTTTTAAATACATATTCTGAATGATAAGTTCTACATTTGTCAAGTTATGAGATTTAACAAGTACAACAATTAAATAGCTCAAGAAACTTTAATTATTTCATAAAATGCATCATATAATATACAAAGTTTTTCCATCAATACTTCCATAAAAAAATTTTATTTTTACTTCAATATAATAGTTATAAGAAAACAGTATGTGGAAAAAATCTCTGAGTTTAAAATACTATTGTCAGAAACACATTTAAACATTTTAAAAAAATGTGTTATATATCAACAAATAGGATTTGCATATGGCACTGTAAGAGGTATCACAGTGGCTTCCCAATAACCCTATATCTGAAAGCCTAAACAAATTTTATGGCATCATTAACAATAATCAATCAATTCTACAATTTACAAATATCAGAGAAACTTTTTAAAATATGTAGCAATTTATTCATTCCTTTATTGTTGTAAACTTTTTCAAACAAATCTCTCTATTGCTGTATGTTATTTACCAAGTCATATCATAGATATAATGTTTATGGTACAGCATTCAAATTGTATATGTTAGTGTACTGTAGTACATAAAATAGCTGTTTGTTAACAATCTTATTAACTGTTTGTGATCATAAAGCAATGTTTTAAGAATTTTAAATTTTAACATGATAATGTTTGGTTGTTACTCATATAGAAGTATATAGTTTGTTACAAATTCATTATTTACATATAAAGATTTTATTGTGTTTGTTACATTGTAAGAAACATTAAAATTGATTTGGGTTTTGGTTTGGATTGCAATAATTGTAATTTTTCTTATTTAAAACAGACTTCCAGTAAATGTTTTCATATAAAACATCTGATTTTTAAAACAGATTAATGACATTATGCAGAGAATGCAAATGCCTGAATAATAATAGGATTGTATGATTAATGTAACTAGAAACTAGAAACAACAAAACAGTAACTGGATACAGACATATTTATAATATTCATTCCTTCACAGTTAATTCATTCAATAGACATTTATCCTCTTCTTCTACCAGTTCATTAGTAAAATATCTTGTTTGCTATATAATCATTTCAATATAGTTTTGTTATATTTGATTAGTAACAAATATTATGTCTTGTGCTATTTTTTAATCTTAATTTATACTTAAATTTGTATTTTGTATGCATTAATTAAATATAAAACTTGTTGTAATAAACTTTTTATTTTGATCACAAACACATGTTTAATTGCAGAAATATATTAAAATATCAATAAAATGTATTAAAAGGACAATAAATAAAGCTAAAAAGTAATTGTCATAGTCTAAATTATGAGTCTGTGAAACAAAAAATAGCCGAGACTCGAAAACAATAATGAATAGCAATGTACGGCACTTAAAAAAAATAAAATAACTATTTTGAAATGTAACAAAAATTTAAATTTATTAAGCACGAAATTTAACTAATAAAATAAAACACATGGTATGAACTTTTATATAAATAATAAGCCCTGCAATAAATTTTTAATGTTAAATTAATTCCAAAATTTTTTCAATTATAAACAATAATAAACAAGAATTAGATTTATCAAAATATACTAAACTAATAAATAAAATTTTGACAAACCTTTTCCATATAAGAGAGAAGAGCATTCTTGTTATTTTCCCATTCAGAAGCTAATTTTTCAGCAAATGGATATTTACAGCAGGACAATTCCAGAGTTATCTCAAAACAGTTGCTGTACACATAATTAAAATCTTGCATTCCTCCTGTTTTGAATTTATATGTATAAATATATGAACATTAAATATATACAAATAATAACATTAAAAGTCAATCTTTATTTTAGAACTCCAAAAGTATGACTATCTTAAATAAAATGCAATTTACATAGCTGAGAAAATGGCTTCAAGAGAGCCAAAAATATTTTTGGTTTAATCCAGAAGTATTTTTAGCTGATTTAATATGAATACATTAAGTATTTTTGAATTTTTCAAAAAAANTATATGTGTGGTGTGTGTGTGTTTATGTATGTTTATACACTTAATATAATATTTTATTAATTATTGTGATTTTTATTGCAAATTGTTTTTCTCTAATGCATTTTAAAAAGAACAACTATTCTTATCACATGTATATTATTCCATTGTATTGTGTGAAAAAATAAATCAAACTTATTAAAAGTATTTAAGAATAAATTTTATGTAATTAAATTTTGTTGTTTGTTTAGTGATAATCATCAAACACTTATTATTATTTATATTTTTACAAATAAAAATTATATCAAAACATTACATTTATCTTATGTTTAATCATCATGTTGTTTATTTTAGTTCTCAAATGAAGATAATATCTTCAAAAGATTCTTTAAGCCAAAACTTGCCCAAGAAAATACCTAGTTAAATTACGCTGCAACATTTTAAAAATAGAAGAGTTATGTAATAGATTTACATTGTAATTTTGCAATATTATATCCCTTAAATTTTGTAGTAAAATTTTTGTGTGGGTTATAAAGGTAAATATTATAACAATTGATTCAAAGACTCATCTAATAAAAAAGATTGGATATAAACAAAAAAAAATTCATAAATTTAAAGATTATTCAAGATAAAAAGTTCTTGAAAATCATGAAGACTTACAGTCAAATACAATATTATGACAAAGTTATACATTTCTTGTTTGAAATGAACTCAAGAATAATGAAGAAAAGTAATTTTGCATGCTGCTTTAAATTATGCTCTTATTTCAAAATTATATCAAAAACAAACTACATATATTTACTAGTTAAAAATCTATATTATATTACAGATTTTAAAACTGATGTTTGTATATTATTCCTATATTCTCTGTTTTTGTTTTTAAATTTTTCTAAACTGTTTTGTTGTTACTTAGTTTTAATAAACAAATTTTTCTGTCTTGAATATAAGAATTAATTACTTTTTAATTAATTACCAATATTATTAATGTATTATAAATATAATTATTGATTACCATAAAAAGTTTATCTAGCAAAAACCTAGATGAAATAATATGTACAAATTCTTTTGATAAAATATATCTGATCAAAGAGAAACTAGTGCAATGAGACTATTAAAATTGAATAATAAAAATCCACAAAAACAAGTCATTTACACAGTCAATTTAAAATCTATAAAAGTTTACCTTTCAGAACCAGCAAATTTTTATCACAGTCCCTCTTAATGGAAAAGCATTTAAGGTTAATTACTTTTATATACTTTTGACAATAATTTATTTTAGTATCTAGTTGACAAAACTGAATGTATGTATATATATATATTTTTTTTATTACAAAAATTTGTTGTTCTTTATTAATTACCAAAACATAGTAAGAAAAATTTCAGCTTTATTTATAACAATTTTTTTCTCAGTTTTAAATTTAAATAATCCATTTCAAGATTTAATTATTTACATTTTATCAATTTTGAGGAAAATGTATGAGTTCAAAAGCAGAATGCCATTTCATCTAGAATTTTTTAAAACAAACTAATAATATTCCTCATGTTTATCATTGTCTTGTGTTCTTTAATCCTCTGCTGAAGCATTCTTATCATCTTTCCAACATAATAGGATTCTGAATATCCTATTGCAAAAATGCTTCTGAAGCCATGGAAATGACAATGACAATATAAATACAAAGATGAAGATTTAATTATACTATGGATAATGTAGATTAAATATTAAATAATGAAGTTTAAAGAAACTATATACTTTCACATGCATAAGTGATTTTGAACAGAATAGTGGAAAATTTCAAAAATTAAATTTACTACATCTGGCAAAGTTTTATATATATGTTTAGTTCTTAAAATTTTAGTATAACTGAGATTTTGTTATTATTTTTTACATTTATTTTTACTTTTATCAATAATGTTTTTAATTTTTGTTTTTAGCATCTTTACTATTTTATTTAGGTCTCTATTAAAAAAGTTCATTAGTTTTAAAAATTTTTTCACCATCCCTTCTTCCCACTTGTTTCAATATGAATTCAATAGAATGTTGACAGCTCATGCCATTAGCATTCCATTATAATTTATAACATAAATAAATTATAACTGTTAATACTCTATTGTTTGTTTCAATGTAAATTGGATTAATGCTGGAACAGTAATTCTAAAAGTATTCATCCTAATTAAAATAGTTTGCATACAGGCTTCCAAAAAACAAAAAACAACTTAAGTATTTTGTTTTCTGACTTATGTAAAAAACATGATTGACTGGATTTTGTAATCTCTAACGTTTAAACAGGTGTAGCAGGTCTTTATTGTTGCATAATATTGCATAAATGGTGGAATTTAATCCATAAACATATCTATGCCTAACACATTTTGTATTTTTGCAACATGTTTTCAGCTCATTTATATGTAATTGACAATTGAGATGCAAGATCCTTTTAGTTTTGAATACTTTTGTTTTATTTTAAAATATTTTTTAAATGTTTTTATATACTTTGTATCAAAATCTTATCACTTTGTCAATATGTTTACATAATTTCCTCTCTAATATCCAATTGAATGAAATGTGAATATCAATTAACTATTATATCTCTAAACATAGCTAATTTGAAAGCTGTCGATTTACTCAGAAAGTATTGCTTATAAAAATTACTGTTGATCTCATAAAATTTTGTGAAAGTAAAATTTGTGTTAAGTATCAAATCACAATAGCAGCAACAGTAATCGGTAAATCAGAAATATTTAATAAATGGTATCTTATTGATTTTGATGTTGTTTGATGTTAAGGAGTTTATGTAATAAAATACTATTTCAAAATTAATTATATAAACAATAACTAAATCAACACCTGATCACTCGCTGAGAGATTTATTCTTAACACAAACGTTTTCAATCCAATCAATGGATCATCATCAGGTACATTAGAACATTTCAAAAAATAGAACAACAAGTTCAAAATACAAAAATATAAATATCAATAACGGNCATTATTAACCGAGAGCATTTTCTTTTTGGTAAGTTATCCTTATCCTCTAAGCATTTTTCTGCATTATCTTCAGATCCATGCTTTACCTTTTGCAAAAAGCATGTAATTTTAGATTGCTTGCTTCTAGTTAAAATATCTTTATAATTTTCCTTATATGGTGCTAAGCACTTATGAAGAATAAAGAAAGTATGGAATAAGGGAAAAACATCTCGCAACACAAAATCAGAAGTGTCAAGATCTGGCAACACTGAAACAAGTTTTGAGAAGGACCATCTGTATCTACAGAAGGCGAGAAAAGAAAATTTACATACTTAAGTACTGTACTAATAGTTCACGAAAATAATTATTTTCGTGAACTATTATTACTTAAGTATGTAAAAATTTATTACATTTCATGTTGTACGAGGGTTTACCAATTCTCAAACCGTGTCAGAGTGAATCCGTACTGTGTTATACGGGATGGTACTAATTCTCGAAACTGTGTTAGAGTGAATCCGTGCTATAGAAGTACCGTGTTATACGGGGGTTACCTGTAATATACTTTTGTAATAATAAAACTAAAAGAAAAACTATTTTTGCCAAGTTTCTTTTCTGGATGTCCTTTTCAACGAATTAATTGTTTCTACTTTGACACCCATTGTCAAACAACACATTTTGGTTTATTTGATATTTATCAATAGTTTAAAAGCCATAAAAAATAAAATGAGTTTGTAAATCAAACAAAAAAATGACACTAGTACTGATATGATCTTCAATTCCTTGTTTGCAATGATTTAGTTACTTGGAAATTCAGATAATCAGGATTCAGACAACCTGAATTCTGTATTTCAACAAAATAAGACACCTATTTATTTTGTTGAAATACAATCAATTCAGTTCAATCAATGCATAAATTTTCTTTACAAACTTAATTTAATTGATATTAATTATGTTAATTATAAAAAATTTGTTCATTTTAATTTATCTGTACAAAATTAATAAAAAAATTATGGCCTTAATGAACATAAAATTGTATATCAATGAATTCTAAAAAATTTCTGAAATTATAGCTTATTAAGATATACAAATCTTTATGCACATAATTCAGAAATGAGTATAAAACAATATATTTTCTTGGTATATTATTATTATTATGCAATTTTTATAAGATCTCAATGTCAGAGGGACTTTTAAAAATGCAATTTACACAGTTCTAACCAGGGAAGAGCATATAAAGAAAGATTTACTCTGCTATTGTTTAAATGTGTTTATAATATGAGAAACACACAGCTTAAGAACATATATACATTTATTTTTTCATTGCTACTGTAAAGCATAAATATACATATCATTTTCAATTTATGTAATATGAAGCAGCTTGCCACATTGTAGAACTGTCTCAGAGAAAAACAGTCAAATAATTTCTACTCTACTCAAAAATTTGATTGAAATTAAAAAAAGTGTTAATGTGATGGATGTCAGTGATGCAAAAATATATGCATACCCTCAAAATAATTTTTTTTTAATTCACAAATAAAATAATTTGTATTAAATTTAACAACTACAGAAGTTCATCTTAATTAATTTCAAAAATTCAGTCAGGCACGGATAAGCTACTGCAAAGTGGTATTATCTGTTTTGTTCCAAGCCAGCACTACAATTTGCATTGTGTTTTTGTATTGTGAAATTTCTTTTGTCATTATATTGCTTTTGTAAACTTTCCTCACTAGAATTCTCTTCTCCAAAGGTTTTCCATAGAACTGCAAACCAGGAAATAAGCTGGTCTCTTCATAGCATTAATATTTTACCGATTTAACCAAGCACTTGTGCATGTGCTGATGTGTACT